CTCCAATATTACATGTTCTTGGGCTCACTTGTTCACTGTCTGTCTGCACTAAAATATAAACTTGAGAAGGCAGGTGGCCTCAAGGCTTAGAACAGTGCTTGGTATACAGACGGTACTCAATAAAGAGCTATTAGGCTAACAGAAAACAGATAAACACAACTGACTCTGATTTTATAATTTCTGAAACTTGGTGACAGGGAATGCAGAGATCACAATAGTGCTCTTTCTACTTTTCAATATGCTTTAAAATTCCTTTATGATAAGTTAAGAAAAACATAAAACAGGTCCGGAAGGCAGCCTCCACATTCTGGAGGCTGGAGTGCGGCAGGTCCATCTCCTGCCTCCACAGGAACCAGGAGGCAGGAGACGGAACACTGACAGCAATGAGGAGGAGATGAACAAGTCGCTCTCTGGGAGGAGGAAAAGGGCCCATGAGTGAGCAAGCCCAGCACCCAACATGGGCGAGATTCGGGTAGGGCGGGGAGCGCAGTGTCACGGTCTATCTTTACCAATGTTAGGCACACACGTGTATACGTTAAAGGATGAAATCGTGCTAGGCAGTTCACCACACAGCACAGCAGCCCCCGTCTGTTCCCCGTTACCCCACCTCCACTCTGCTGGCCGAACCTTGGGTGCTCCCCACCACCTCTGAGGAGCAGGCTCCTGAGTCACCACTGGACTGGCTTTAGGAAGGGGCCTGCCCTTGGGACAGGTGGAAGCACAGTGTCTCCTCCCTCCCCCGGCCCCTCACACCCCCCCACACCATCTCCCGACAGGCGCATCGTCGTTTCAATTAGAGCAATATTTGATGTTTACATCAATTATTATCATCGTGCAAAGGCTGTTCACAGCCGAGCCTTGTAGTACACCGTTAATTATTTCTCTTTTCCTGCACAACGGTCTATTTTCCCTGGAACTAATAACAGTCTTGTGCTCTCATTTGCTTTGTGTTCCATGGACTCATCACTAATCCAGCCCCAGCCTGGTCAGCTGTCCACATCTCCTCTCCAGATGTCCCAGCGCATCAGGTGCCCTGGCAAGTTCACCTTCCCCGAGAACTCTCCCCCGGGGGATCTGCCCCAGACAGGTGAGCACGCTGGCCTCCCTACCTCTCAGGAAAACCCCATCTCCTCTGGCTCTGTCCTTCCAGACTCACCACCTCATTTCGGGAAAGCATGTCTGTCAGTCGCTTCCTTAAAGTACATGGGATGTGAACTTTTGGAGCATGTCTGAAAATATCTTTATTCTACCCTCCTTTGCCTGAGCATAGAGTTTGAGGTGGAAGACAGTTTCCTTCGGAATTCTGAAAGCCATGCTCTCTTGCCTTCCACCTTCCAGCGGTGCTGCGGACAGGTCCCCAAGGCGTTCTGCTCTGTTCTGTGATGACCTGCTGGTGGCCTGCTTTTATTCTTTTTCTAGAAGCTAGCATAATCTTCCTTGTCCCAGAGTTCTGAGATTTCACAACGATGTGCCTTGGAGTGGGTGTGCACATCTCTCTCTAAATCCATACTCTCACTACCCAAATTCTGAAACCGATGGTCTCACAGGCATTTCCAAATAAATCCCTTGTTTCCCAAACTCTCACTCGTTACTGTGGAAACTCGGCATCCCTCATTGTGCACACCTGCTCCCCACACTGCAAGGACGCACACTGGGAGCTGAGCAGACAGGGAGAGCGAAGGACACCTGCCTTTTCACCTGCAGAGCGGGCCACCTGGGAGGCCCCTTCCACACAAAGTTTTGGTTCTAGGAAATTCTCTTGCATTATTTTGTGGACGGCCTTGTCCTATTTTCTCTTCTTTCTTACTGAAACAGAATAGTCAGCTGTCAGCCTCCTAATCTGGTCTTTCCCTTTTTTTATTTTTATCCAGACTCTCACTTCCCATCTTTGCTTTTAGGTTCATCTTCCCCAGCTCCTCAACTGTATCTTTCACCCACCAACTGGGTTTTTTATTTCTGCCATTATGGTTTTTTTTATATCCAAGAGTTCTCTTTTTGGTTCTTCAAGTGTTCCCCCACTTTTTTTTTTTTTTATACAGCAGTCCGCTCTTGTTTCTTGCATGCAGTGGTTCCTCTTCTCTGAGTGCGCATGTTAGCGTCGGTCGGCTTGTTCAGTCTTCCTCCTGCACACCCTCCACGGCCTACAAGTGTGTGCTAGGGTCTTTACTTTCCAAATTAGAGGTGTCTTCACACGTCCTTGGTTATCTGTTCCTATTTAAGAGGCAGGGCACCAAAAGAACTTGGAAGCTTTGAACCGTGGGGGGAGGCTGTTAATTATGAGCTTTACTAGTGAGGGATCCACCTGAGCCTCCTTACTGGGGACCCCCTGGTGTCACTATTTTTAGGTCCTTTCTTTTGAGCTACTCACACTCCCCAGACTCTTCCACTGTCCTGCCTAAGTGCCGGCTGGTGGTGTTCTGGTGGTGTTCCGCTGACTCCACTCACTGCATCTCCCTGTGTTAGGCATAGCAGTGGCCCCTCTCCCCCTACCCAACTATGCCTGGCATTTCCCACTCCTCTCTGAAATATTTGTCAAGTTCTCTAAACAGTTACAGAAACCGCCACCTTGATTAACTGCAGGAAGGACGGAGCAGCTGTGTCAGCTATCACGAGGCCCATCTACTGGCAAGTGCCACACACACACACACACACACACACGCTAAGTAGGTGGGAAACCAACCGCTAGCTTCTGAAGAGAAAGAGACAATTAAGAAATCGAAAATAAGATGTAAGTTGTGGTTTTTTTAAATGAAAAGCTACCTGCATCTGCTTCAGCAGTATCATTAACTGGTCTCTCCTCCACAGCTGCACTTGAGCCTGGAGACCTTTCTGGAAGACAATCACCCCCCAGCTGTGCTAATATGCAGTCATGGCCATAAACTGCAGGCCCGGGGTCGGCCATCAGACACGCTTCTCTTCCAGCACCTATCCCTTCCTGGCTGGTATCGCCCAGGCTTCCGCCCCAGACACTCTATGAGAAGGTGTCTCATCCAGGATGGCCCACACACACCATGAATTCTGCAAGCCTAAAACCCACATCCACATCCACTCTAGCACTTTTCATCACAGGCACCAGCTCTGTCCTTCAAGCAGCTGAGTGACAAACCTTGGTTACTCTAGCGTTCTTTTCTTTCCCCTTCACCACACCCCACAGAGTGCCACATGCTGTGGGTTCTCCTACTTGCTCTAATCTGATGATTCCCTCCACTCTCTCGGCTTCCGTCCCGAAGCCATTCCCCCTACAATGGCACCCAATTCAGTCTCCAGCTCCCCACACCCTGAACCCGCCTTCCCTGTTGTCCCTACTGCTACTTTTCTTAAACACGGACCTATCACATCTCACCCAAAACCTTGACCACCCCCTCACTGAAGATCAGCATAGCAGCCCAAACTCTAGAATAGCATTCAAGGCCCTTTGATAAGAAACCTTAGCTTCCTCCCCAATCCCCAAACCCCCTCTGGCAATGAATCCAGGGACTTGCTACCCCCCCAAACGCCCCGTTCCCTTCCATGTCTCCACACGCCCTGCTGCCTCCACCTGGAATGTTCTCTCCAACCTTCACTTGTCCTTCAAGTCCCCCAAATTCATCCAACGTCTCCACCATGGAAAACTCCAACACCAGGAAATACGCTTCACTCTTCCCATTTCTTCACACTTTGTAAATAATTGCCTAGACGCACCAGTCACGCTGTATTATAATCAGCCTAACCTTATCACCGGCAGCTAGTCCAACTTGACATCTTGCAAATAAGAGGCTCAGTGTTTGCTGAACTGACGACGCCGGCACGCAGTAACACTGAGCAGTACTGTAGGCCTGCAAATACCAACCCAAAGTCCTATAAACTAATCTGCAAGAAAACGGGCCACCAAGCAATTCCATGCAGATGCGTTCTACACGCTCAGGAGCGCTGCCTTCCCGTAGCCATGTGCTAGGTGTGGACTAACGCTATTGCTGTGCGCAGATTGCAACATGCAAGTGTACCAAACCCCGCCTTGTAACACCTTCATCCCACACAATGTATTTCAACTCTACTTCCATTTAAAACAGTGTCCTGACATCCCTGTGTGCTCTCCTTCTCCCCCGAGACCGCAGCCCTGACTCACACGCCCCACGCCAGGTGCTCCAGGAGAAAGGGCTGCACTGTGTCCTGCGCGGGGGCAGGTGAGGGCCCGCTGAGCCGGTTCCCCGCCGCCCGCAGCCTGCACCTACACTTTGGGGGGCAGCACCCTTAGAGGTGCGTCTGCATGCCCCCCGTTCATCCCGGGCCTCCCGAGCCGGTCCGAGTGCAAGCACAGAGTAAATAATTTAATAAACTGCGGACACACTGTGGCTTGTTGTGCTCCGCGCCAGCGGAACCTCGGCTTGCGCCAACGGCTCGCCAGGATGCCCGGTGGCCAGGAGCCCGAGCGGGAGATGGAGGTCCCTCTGTTAGTGGCCAGTGCACGGCTTCCTTGCGCGGGAGAAGCACCCCCGCTGTTTCTGAGCAGAGGGTCCCTGGAGGGGTACCCCTCCAGGCCTCACGGCCCCGCAGCGGCCGCCCTGGGGTCCCCCGGGGCGGGGCCGCGCAGCGCAGGCCGGCGGGAGGTGCCCGCAGCCCCCCAGGAGCGCAGCGGTGGGGTGTAGGGGTGGGGGCGCCCGCCGGGCCCAGGGTCCCAGCGCAGGGCCCTGGGAGCACTGCGGCGTGGGGCCCGGCTCCGAGCACCGCCGAGCCGGCGTCCACGCTCCCGCGGTACCCCACAAGAGGACCGGGAGCGCGCCTGCGGGGCGCCCCACCCGCCTCCGCCGCCCTCCAGCGCCGGCCGCCCGGGGGCTCAGAGAGGGTACGAGCCGGGCCAAGGTCACACAGCGGCCGGCACGGGGGCTCGGCCCGGGGGCTCGGCCCGGGGCCGCGGAGGACCTGCCGGCGGGCTGAGGGAGGGAGCCGGACCCGCCCGCCGCCCCGTCCCGCACGCCGCCCCGCGGCCCGCAGTTCGCGCGCCTCCGCTCACCTCACCTCACCTCGTCGCCGTCGCCGCGGCCGCCTCGCCGTCTGCCGACACTCCCGAGGCCGCCCCTCCTCCGTCGGCCCCGCCCCCGGCGCCCGGAGCCCCGCCTCCCGCTTCACGTCTCGCGAGAAATGGCGGCCCACGGAGGGGCCACGGAGGCCGGGGGGGGGCGCCCGCTCTCAACGCGCCTGCGCCCTCCGCACCCCGCCGCCCCCGCCCTCCCCAACCAGTGCCATGTGGCGCCGTATTTACGACCCGCGATCGGCCCCGCCCCCCGGCACCGGCAGCCCGCCCCCTTCCCCCGCTGCCAATCCAGTTCTGCGGGCCGCGGCGTTGGCTCCGCCTCCAGCAGCTCCGCGCGAGGGGTGCGCGGGACACCGCTTGGAGCCCGGCGCGGTCCCGCTAGCCTGCACTTACGGAGCGCCTGCTGTTTGCCCCGCTCGTTCGCGACCCCCCGACCGCTAGCAGAGGATCGCGACGCTCCTCGGCCGGGGCCTGGGGCGGGTGACCAAACCTCTCCGAGGTTGTCCCAGGTCCGTCCAGAGGGTGGTGCCTTCACCTTGCAGGCAGGTCGCGAAGCGCTCCGCGAGATGACCCTTGTTCTTAGCATCGATGGGTTTTCTTCAATAGGGGTAAAATACGCATATGACAAAATTCACCACAGAACCGTGTTTCATGCACATTCACCTTTGTGCAGCCATCTCCGCCAGCCACCCACAGAACTTTTCCAATCCGTGATGGTTTCTGCGGTTCCTCGCAGGGGACCGCGGACTGCCTTTCGAGGGGAGGCTCTGTCCTCCCTCCTTGCCCAGCGGCCAGTCATCACGGAGTCCCCACCTGCTGGGTCCCGAGACACAGCAAGGCCCTGCCCTCCCGGAACCTCTCTTCTAGCGGGGGAGACAGCTAACAAACAAGTCCACCAACTGCTCCTTTCCATTGGATCGTCGTGTTGGCGTTAACCGCCGTCAGGCCTCTCCCAGCTTAAAAACAAAAAAACAGTACCCTTTACCCCCTCCAGCTATCACCTCCTCAGCTAACACATCAAAGCAGCAGGTCTCTCTCCACAGCCTCCAGTTTCCCTAAGTTCCCTTCATTCCACTCCCTGGGAAGAGGTCCTCTCCAGCAGGCAGACAGTGCCGGCAGGGGGCAGGTGCACACAGGGCGGGATGGCACAGGACGCCCGGGATGACATGGGGCAGGTGCATACAGGGTGGGATGGCATGGGGCATGTGCACATGGGGCAGGTGCACACGGGGCGGGATGGCACAGGGCGGGATGGCACAGGGGCAGGTGTACATGGGGCAGGTGCACACATGGCGGGATGGCACAGGGGCAGGTGCACATGGGACAGGTGCACACAGGGCGGGATGGCACCGGGCTCCCGGGATGGCACAGGGCTCCCGGGATGACATGGGGCAGGTGCATACAGGGTGGGATGGCATGCGGCAGGTGCACACGGGGCAGGTGCACACAGGGCGGGATGGCACAGGGGAAGGTGCACACAGGGAGATGAGAAGGTAGTGGTTACATTCCAGTTCTTAAGTTAGTGCTGGATGGTGGATAAGTCATTTTACTAGCAAGATTCAAAATTTAAGATATTTATTTCACCTATTTTGTTTTGTATATGTCTTAGTTTGCTCGGGCTGTCATAGCAAAGCACCACAGGCCAGGAGGCTTAATCCGCAGAAATTGAATCTCTCTCAGTCCTGGAGGCTGGAAGTCGGAGGGGCTGCTTCCTTCTGAGGCTGCGAGGGGCAGTCTGTCCCAGGCCTCTCTCTTGGGCTTGTTGGCCATCCTCTCTGTCTCTTCACATTACTTCCCTCTGTCTCTGTGTCCACACTTCCTCTTTTGTAAGGGCACAGTCACATTGGATGAGGGCCCACCCTAATGACCTTATTTTAACTTGATTTCCTTCTTCAAGGTCCTATCTTCAAATAAGGTCACGTTTGAGGTTCTAGCAGTTAGTACTCCAATGTGTCCTTTTTTGGTGAGGACACAATTTAGCCCATAACAGTATTTATCAAAAATTATATAATAATAAACTGTTTTAAAATGTTATTCCGTTTAAATATTTATGAGAATGGTTAAAATAAAATTTTAAGATGTGACAATCCCCAGCGCTGATGAAGATGCAGAGCAACTGTAGCTCTCCTACATGGCTGGGAGGGAGGCAAAATGGCCCGGCCCCTTGGAAAACAGTTTGGCAGTTTTGTAAAAAGTGAAAACGTAAGTCTACTGCGCAAGCCAGCAAACGCACTCCTAGGTGTTTACCTAAGAGAGATGAGGACTTCTATTTGCACAAAAAGCTGCACATGAGTGTTTTTAGTGGCTTATTCATAATTGCCTAAAGCCGGAAACAACCCAAAACTCCTTCAACCAGCAAACGATCAGATGGCCAACCTCAGAACAGCTCATACCCCGTGATTCCACTTAGATGACGTTCTGGACGAGGCAAAACTATAGCGACAGGTGCTTTCTGGGGCTTTTATGGGGCTTGGGGTTGAGGGAGGGGTGACGACACTGGGCCGGGGGGGGGGCTTTAGGGCTGATGACACTGTTCTAGATTTTGATTGCGGTGCTGGTGGTTACATGGCTAAGTTTGTCGAAACTTCCGTAAACTTCCCATACAAAAGGATAAATGTTGTGACGTGCAAGTTAAATATCTTCATTTAAAAAATCTTCTTAAATGTAATTTTCTCCCAGCCAAGGTTTTCCTAATTATGAAGAAGTGGTGCACGATGAAGATGAAATCATTTAACCAGGGGCCCTGCATTCAGAGGTGCTCGATTAATATTTCCTCTAGGCCAGCAATTCCCCAACTATGCCTGGAAACAGCCGCCTACAGAGGAGGTTATGGGCGCCCCTGCAATAAGATAAAAGTGTTCCCCCATCAAATAAGAGTGGGCCCAGGAAATAAAAGTTAAAATGTTTAATTACGGCCAGACTTCTCAGACCTTATGCAAGGATAAAGTATGTTGTGGATTTTAAGGAATTTCCCCAGGAGTTGCCCTGCATGTGGAAGGGTTGGTGAAAGGTTTGTTTGGATTGAACAGAGATTCAGATGCCCAGGGGCCACCATCTCTTACTGGCAAAGCCTCGCTGGGAATTTGAACAAAGCTTCCAGGCCATTTGGTGAGAGCCAGGACTCAGGCTCGGGAAATGGGGTGAGGATCTCACCTGACAGGACCTGGTGCTGAGATGGAACCAGTCCTTCCCTGGAGAGGGAGGGGAGGAGGGAGCAAGAGCAGAATGCGGCCAGGTCCCGTTTGGAGGTGATGAAGGGCACCGGAACCAGATGGAGGTCAGGGTTGCCGAGCACCGTGAGTGTTCACTTTAAGATGGTTGCTTTTTGTCTTATGTCAATTTCACCTCGATTGAAAAAAGCAAACCAACCCCAAACCCAACTCTTAACCTTAGCTCTGCACCTCCATTCTTACTTACCTGCTGTGGATGAGGTAGCAGGGGCTCAGAGAGGTGAAGTGACTAGCCAAAGACACACAGCGGTGTAAGTGGCAGAGTGAGGACCAGAAGCAAAGTCGGGGCTCCAGAGCTACCCTGCACTCCAGCAGCTGCCTGGGCCCGGACCGGGGGTGGGGTGGGGGGGGACCTGCTATGAGGGGCCTGTGAGCAGGCCAGCTCTGCCCTGGAGGTGACATTCATCTCCCCCTCCTCTAGGCCCTGGGCACCTTCAAGCTGGCGGACCCCAGCTGTCTGTCCGTCTCCACAGCAACTTGGCTGGCTGTGGCCCGCCTTCCGGGGCCCTGGGCCCTGGTGCAAAGGTTGCAGCCTCCCCAGGCTGGCACAGCCTGGCTCAGCCTCCGTGTTTTGGTCTGAATTACCTCGATGTCCCATGTCGCCGACAACTCTTTCTGGTTTCATAGCCAGCATCGCCACAGGACAAAGAGAGAAGTGGCTGCGGCTTGGGCCAGGAAGTGTCATCTGCCTCTGATAGAAGCAGCGGGGAGATTCTGGGTGCTCACTGGGCGCCGGATCGGTGCGAGCATCAGTGAGAAATGAAAAAACAAAGCGGAGGTGCGAGGATATCTTTGCAGGCGAGAGGAAAAATCCCCGAGAGCCGACGCACCTGCGCGCATGCGCCCTCTGCCCACCCCGGGCTCACTACAGTGTTGCTTTTCCATGTCCTACCGGGTGGCGGGGCCATTTCCCAGCACCTGTGCCACCTCGGCGGGTCTTCTAGCTTCTCTGAGCCCCCACGTCCCTACCTGGATAATGCTGGAAATGATAACCCTCACCTCCTGCAATGGTTATGCCTGAGAGAGACGGTGTGTGCAGAGAGCTGGCCCCTGACAGCATCTGTGCAGGGAGACCAGCCTGGAGGCACTGGGGGGTCCCACTGCACGGTGGTGGTGTGGGGAGAGGACGGGGGTGGAATGGAGAGGGCAGGCTTAGGACTGGCTGATGGAGGGAAGGGACGGAGGAGTCAAGGATGTGCCCCCAAGAGAGGTAGCAAACGCTGGAGAACCGTCCAGGGGCACAAGCCTTGTGAACTTGGTGTTGTGCGTGCTGAGCCGGAAGCACATAGCTGTCAGGGAGACAGAAGGATGCCTGATTATTGGACTCAGGGAAAAGGGTTGCTGGCTGGAGATGGGAGCATCAGAAGTGATGTCAGTGACTGCCAGCACCCCAGAGGTCTGGCCAAGCCCGATGCACCTCACCCCAAACCCAGTCCTGGCAAACCCTCTCCACCGCCTTCCACTTCACCCTCCTGGTTGCTGGAACGGCCAGTAGGGGACAGATGCCACCGAGGCTCCATTTCACTCGAGGGGCAGCAGGAACACCCAGAGGGAAGGAAAGGGGGCCCCTGGAGGGCCAAGGTGAGGGGCCCCTGGCTCTGGCTCATGGAGTGAGACCCAGCACCCCCAGTCCCACCTGCTAAGGGCTGCCTGGGGGATGGACAGGAAGCCTGGGGACCCTGGAGGGAGGAGAAGCCACTAGCTGAGTTGTACCCAAGCCCTCATGATCCACACACAGGCTAATCCATACAGGCTCAGAAAGGACAAGCCAGCTCGGGGAATGCGTGACCCGTTCTCAGGAGGAAGCGCGAGAGGGGTTAAACATCCTGCCACCTGAT